CTCTCTTTTATCCCCTTTGCATTTATACAAAGGAACTATGCATGCTCTCTGCCAATCCCTAGGGATTGGCAGAGAGCATGCATATTCCAAACATTTATTAAATAATAGCACCAACCACTCCAAAATTATATCTCCTCCTGCTTTAAACATTTCTATCTTTATCCCATCAATTCCAGCTGCCTTATTCCCTTTCATTCTACCCACTGCCTCACGAACTTCCCCCACATTCACAACTGGCTCTTCCTCACTCTTACAAGATGTTATTCCTCCTTGCCCTATACACGAAATCACAGCTTCCTTATCTTCATCAACATTTAGCAATTCCTCAAAATATTCCTTCCATTTTCCCGATACCTCTAACTCTCCATTTAATAACTCTCCTCTCCTATTTTTAACTGTCAAATCCATTTGTTCCCTAGGTTTCCTCAACTTATTAATCTCACTCCAAAACTTTTTATTTTCAACAAAATTTGTTGATAACATCTCACCCACTCTTTCATTTGCTCTCTTTTTACATTGCTTCACCACTCTCTTACCCTCTCTTTTTTCTCTCCATATACTCCTCCCTCCTTGCATCACTTCTACTTTGTAAAAACCTCTCATATGCTAACTTTTTCTCCCTTACTACTCTCTTTACATCATCATTCCACCAATCGCTCTTCTTCCCTCCCACACCCACTTTCCTGTAACCACAAACTTCTGCTGAACACTCTAACACTACACTTTTAAACCTACCCCATACATCTTTGACCCCTTTGCCTATACTCTCACTAGCCCATCTATCCTCCAATAGTTGTTTATATCTTACCCTAACTGCCTCCTCTTTTAGTTTATACACTTCACCTCTCTCGTACTTGCTGCTTCTATTTTCCTTGTATCTATTCTCCCTTTTACTCTCACTGTAGCTACAACTAGAAAGTGATCTGATATATCTGTGGCCCCTCTATAAACATGTACATCCTGAAGTCTACTCAACAGTCTTTTATCTACCAATGCATAGTCCAACAAACTACTGTCATTACGCCCTACATCATTGCATTTATTAGTAATTTTATGATGAACAATGTCTTCTGGACATATCCCTGGGATATCCTGACAATTTTTGCCACTTTCATCCCTCATGTTGTAACCTATTTGTTTCCCCCACACACCTATACCTCTATCTTGTACCAGTTTGAAGTCCTAGACAACTTGGCAACTCTCTTATTCTGGCATTAGATTTCTAACCAAAACTTGTACATATTTTCTGCATTTGATTTGATTAGACTCTATATTGTTTAATTTATAGGTGCTGCAGTTATTTTCTTTTGTGCAAAGAAACCAGGGGCCCCACCATGTTAATGTACCTGATTATATTTATGTTCATTTTGTGTGTGATTACCAACAAAAATGTGGCTGCAGATACTGCTTACAATCAAATGACACAACACTCCTTCCCTTCCCTCCTTGCTAGTTTTTGCTATGGCAGCTCATCTGTTAACTGCCAAAAATGAGGGAAAAAATGTGTATAGGAACTTGCTTTTACTGAAGCGATGACGGGCTTTACTATAGAAACTTGTATCACATTAACGTAATGAAGCAAACAGTACTGACACCCATGTTTAAGATTTTAAAACTGAAACAGAGGTATGAAGCAATGTACCTAGATACAATATATCACATAAAGGTACTAACCTAATGTACCTACAATGGCAGGTTAAGCATAGTAGTAGCAATTACAAATAACAGGGAAGTTCATTACATTGTTTAGATCTTGGGGTTTAAGGTCTCTGTAGATGCAACACATTAATTTTATCCACAAAAAACAATATTTAAGTACATTGACTAATTATTAGAACCCAAAAATAAATTTCTAAAAGGCATTAAAAACAAAGCAATAAACTAAAATTAATAAAATCTTAGTACAGTGGAACCTCTACTTACGAGTGCCCCAATGCGCGAGTTTTTCAAGATACGAGCAGTCGCTCAGTTGATTTTCTGCTTCCAGATGCGAGCGAAATTTCAAGATGCGAGCGGGCCTTAAGGGAGGTTCCTTGACACTGGTGAGCGGCTCTTGCTCTTGATCTAGTGAATTATATCTCAGTTGTTTTTTGGATTATCTTATTGAAATTTGGGCAATTTATGATGGAAAGATTCTTCTTAACGTACACCAAAATTGAAAGAAATCGGACCATAAATAACAAAGTTCCCTTCTCAGCCATTAGCCGCCCCTTAGTGATATATTTTCGTATGGTTATTATGGTTGTATTCTCAATTCTTTGACGATGTTCAAGAGTAAACAGTATGTGTCCAATATGTGTCCATCTGGCCAGTCTCATATGCAATCACGAATGGGTTGACATTATTTATACAATTATTACAATAATGCAGTAGTCTGCATAACAGTAAATCTTCTATTTTTTGTGTGAATAAAAATTCCAAATGGTAAGCAAGAGTATTATTATAAAAATACATATGTACTATTTTTTTCTTATTCTTTTTAGTAATCTTTACAGGAAAAGGGGTTACTAGCCCATTGTTCCCAGCATTTTAGTTGACTTTTACAACACGCATGGCTTACGGAGGAAAGATTCTTATTCCACTTCCCCATGGATATAAAAGGAAAAGTAATAAGACCACGAACTATTAAGATAAAATCAAAGAAAACTCAGATGAGTGTGTATAAATAAACGTGTACATGTATGTGTAGTGTGACCTAAGTGTAAGTAGAAGTAGCAAGACATGCCTGTAATCTTGCATATTTATGAGACAGACAAAAGACACCAGCAATCCTACCATCATGTAAAACAATTACAGGCTTTCGTTTTACACTCACTTGGCAGGACGGTAGTACCTCCCTGGGTGGTTGCTGTCTACCACCCTACTACCTGCACTTTAAAGGAGGGGTTTGGGATATTGGCAGTTTGGAGGGATATGTTGTGTATCTTTATACGCATATGCTTCTAAACTGTTGTATTCTGAGCACCTCTGCAAAAACAGTGATAATGTGTGAGTGTGGTAAAAGTGTTGAATGATGATGAAAGTATTTTCTTTTTGGGGATTTTCTTTCTTTTTTGGGTCACCCTGCCTCGATGGGAGACGGCCGACTTGTTGAAAAAAAAAAAAAAAAATACGTACTAATTAAAAATAATACTACTGTGTTGGAGCTATGTAATAATGCTTGTGTAAGTCATTTCCGAAACATTCTGAAAGGGAGGAACAAACAAACCTCCTTGGATAGTTTTTTATTGAAATGCCCTGCACATGAAAGTGTGACAAGCGTGGAAAAAACCCAAAAATCAGTAAATAGTGAAGTAACATTAAAATAAAAATTGTAGCAGTTAAGTGTGTTGGAGCTATGTAATGATGCTTGCTGAGCCCAGCATCTCTTCTCCATCTCCAAGGTAAATGCTGTATTACTACATAATTTCTTTACATTATGTATTATTATTATTTTTATTATTATTATTATTATTATTTTCCTTATGAAACTACATAACAGTATTTCTTACCTTAAATTGTGGGTGCTGGTGTTTGTCGATGACTGTAAAGAGAGTGGAGAGTAATGCTGTGGCCCTACTGGGCTGAGGTGGATGGTAGAGGTACTGGTACTGAAGTTGATGGTTGTACTGGAGTGTGCATAAATTCTGTAATGGATTTCTGTTCTATTTTACCCTGTCCTACATTGTACAACTGACAGTAAGGCATCAGCTGCTCTAGACACCATTTCAGGGTGTCAGTCAGTTAGTCAATCAAGTCAGTCAAGTCAGTCAGTCAATCAAGTCAGTCAGTCAATCAAGTCAGTCAGTCAATCAAGTCAGTCAGTCAATCAAGTCAGTCAGTCAATCAAGTCAGTCAGTCAATCAAGTCAGTCAGTCAATCAAGTCAGTCAGTCAATCAAGTCATTCAGTCAAGTCATTCAGTCAGTCAAGTCATTTAGTCAGTTAAGTCAGTAAGTCAGTCAGTCAGTCAGTCAGTCAATAAAGTCAGTAAGTCAGATATGGTAATTAAAAGATCAAAACACAATTCACAATTCAACAAGAGAGAGAGAAGTGGAACTGAACACGTATTATTCACGAAAGCTGGGATGGTGCCACCACTTGTCACATAATAGTATTTTATTCATTCTAGAGTATATATCAGGTTTCTATGTTATTTACATTGTTTATTATGTCATATTAGATGAATTGTGATAGATAAATAAGCCACAGAGTTGATATTAGCGAAATATTGAAGTATTTTGTCGTGCCTCCTGACAGCCAGAACAAATTAATTGCATTTAAATTAATTTAAATGAGGAAAATTGACTCAGCATATGAGCAAATCGGGATACGAGGAAGGTCATGAAACGGATTAAACTCGTAAGTATAGGTTCCACTGTACTGTATTACAGGAAATCTCAACTATTTTTTTTTTTTTACAACCTCAATATACTGAGCTCCAAACTACACAAGGAAACAATCAAAGGCTAAGCATTATTAAAATAATATTCTATTTATATATTCTACTACTCTCTAATCTCAAGCAATAATATATATTACTGCCCAATTATCTTAAAACAATAATATACAACCTTTCCTCACTTAAAGACATACTTGTTTACCGACGCCTTGGACTTACGATGGGCTCTCTGACCAGTATTCATACCTAAATAATGTATATTAGAGCTGATTTCCTCTATTCTGTTTATTTCAATATGCAGTACACTAATGTATAAACATTTAAAAATATACCAGAAATGTTATAAATGGTGCAAAGGTGACATTAAAACAACATCAAAGATGTTCGACACAAACTCACTACCATTATAGTATGCTCCTCACTTAGCAACGAATTTGTTTAACGACGTGGTCTCAGGAACGGAACTCCGTCGTTAAGTGAGGAGAGGCTGTAGTCTACTACCCTTTTATCTCAAATAATAATACATGTACTATGTTTTAATCACAAGCAAATGCACACTTTTCACTTCAGCTTCTTAAAAACAAAGAGAAAAGAATTGAAAAAGAGAATACAGTGCTCACCTGTTGAATAAGCTCAGTGGTAGGGATATCAGTTGTGCGGTTAGTATAGTGGGGTCCTTGCGGTTGCATCACAACATTTGCCTCCTGGACTGGGACCCCTAAGCTGGTTGTAGTTAGGATACTACCATCAACACTACCGCTGCCACCCTACCACCAACACTAAGGTTAGTCATTTATAAAACAGCCTACTGAGTATTTGATACCTTTCTAAATATAAGGGAAATGTGGTGACTATATCTGATGTAATGGTACTCTGTATTAAGTATTAGTATCTTAATACCAACACCAAGTCACATATTTCTGAAGCACGTTACCTTTGTATAAGGTACAGCATTTGGAGTGAAAAAAATATATCAATATAATTATATATACTTATTGAGGACCAAATCATTTTTATTTGCAACAATACTGTAATATTATATAAACAAAATACAACCTTAAATAAAACAAATTGTAACGTGATAAAATTAAATGCTGTTTAAGGAGTTATAACACACTATAACACTCACCAATTCACCTAACAGAGTACTCAAAGCTGGTGTTACTGAATTACCACATATGGACCTTCTCATATACAGAAGAAAATATTAAATCCTTAAATCATTATGACCAAACTAATTTGAATACAGAATACAATGAAAACCAACAATCACACTGCATTCCTAGCCATCACTCCTTTACACTAGATGGCATTGTGAAATTTCTAAACAATAATTCACTAAATTGGTTACAAATTAATGGATATACATTACATTTCCATACACACACAGACAGACATGCACATCCATGAATTTGCATTGCAAATTTATTTATGATGTTGTGCAATCAATTACAAACTTAATAGACATGGCTCAATTTTTCATCCTGAAAAATAAGTAAAGATGCAAATATTCTTTATTTGTCACTTATCAGTTGGTCATGCAGAGACCCCTCAGTATACAATACTGTCATGATAGAGTGTATGAAACTAATCTATTATGCACAAGTTAAACTACCAAATGCAATACACTATCTACAACACAAAGCAACAAGTAGCAGTGCAGGCAACCAATTCCCATTAGAAGTGATGCATTCATTGCTTATTATCTTTGACATCATTCAAGTGAAATAAAATCTGAAGGATATTCTTTCCCAAGAGCAATAAATTTCAACTTTCATAAAATTCAAACCTATTGAAAATTACACAAGGAAGTTTTAATGAATGAAGGATAATGTTTATGAATAGAACAACTTAAGTAAAAATCAATACAAAGCTTAAAGGCATTGATTCCTTTTTATTTTATAATCCTTTATGTTATCTACAGTAATACAAATATTTTATAAATGTAACATTATTTTATAGGGGAATATATTTCACAAAAAGTTAAAGAATTATCCATAAACATTTCTTGTCTCCCTTGTCTTTCTACTGACTTTAATCAAGACTAATGATATAAATTGTTCAAACATGTAAAATAATGTAATTTTTATTAATCATTTACAGCTATGTTAAGTGTCAAGGGAAACCTATAAGTACATACAACATTTTAAATATTATCTTTAGTGTCTTTATTATTAATACAAACTCTGCATGAATAGTATAATCTCTCTTAAATACCTACTGGTCATAGTTCAAATACTGTGCATACTACAGTGGACCCCCAGTTTTCGTCCAGTTCAGATATCGTAAAATTCGGATTTCGATCACTTTTTTCGGCGAATTTTTACCCCAGGTTTCATACATCTGCTTGGAAATCGTCCATATCAGACGCATCTGCCTGGGCCACTCATATGTTCGTGATACTAATACTAATAATAATCACTCTTGGGCACATTAAATGTCTTATTTTAGGTTAATATAGACATTTTCATTAATCCATCTATGATATTTTCTTCAAAATTATATAAGAAACACGTTACATAGCATACAAACATGCAATGTTTACGTGCTATGGAGGTATGCTAGCCAGGCAGAGGGAAAACATTACATTTTCTCTGGTCCAGCATCAGAGAAAATGTGTATGAATCTGTGTTGGCCCAGTTACTGTCCTTAATACCTAACGCTCTTATTTACAATTCTCGGCATGAATTATTCATTACTTCTCCCTTTATGATGGCATCTAAAGGTAGTTGTTAGAAACGATTAAACTCTGTGAACATGGTATGTCGATTGTAATAATATAGCTCTGGGCCGCATTAAATAGGTGTGTAGGTGTAGGTATTTAGCCAAGGCAAGTTACATAGTACCTACATCTACCAGCTACCTACATCTGACTTCCTACAAATAAGTACTACTCACCTCTTGCCCTACATTAAGACTACAAATATTTTAAGGTAAGTAATGAATATACTGTGTATGTATTTTACTTTTTGTGTTTTTTTTTTAATGCCTAATTCTATTACTAACTTAATATAAGTTAGTGTAAACTTGACAACCCTACGTCTGTTGTGGAATCTATTGTGGCTTTGGGGAAGTCCATGGGGTTGGATGCGAGTGGCCAGGAGGTGGAAGAGTTGGTGGATGACCACAGGGAAGAGCTGCAACACTATAGTTCTTTCTTTCTTTCAACGCACCAGCCGTATCCCACCGAGGTGGGGTGGCCCAAAAGGAAAAACGAAAGTTTCTCCTTTCAAATTTAGTAATATATACAGGAGAAGGGGTTACTAGCCCCTTGCTCCAACACTATAGTTCTTCTCTATAAATGTATTTTTTGTTAATATTTTTGGGTGTCTGAAACGGATTAACTGAATTTACGTTATTTCTTATGGGAAATATTACTTAATTTTTCGTCCATTTTGGATTTCGACCGACCTTCTGGAATGGATTAAGGATGAAAACCAGGGGTCCACTGTACTGGTTTTGCAGTACATTATTCTTAACTTGCAATTCTTCATTAACCTTTAAACAGTCCAAACGCACATATGTATACGTTTTTTCAACATTTGAAAGTATGTAAAATAATGTACATCATCGTTTTTTTTTACATTTGAAAATGTGTAAAAAACTTATCTACATTTTTTTTTTTGTTATATCTGAAAATATGTAAAAAAACATAGATCTACTTTTGGAGCACTACGGATTTGAGCGTCGATCTATTTGGACCGTTTAAGGGTTAATGCACATCACAATTTTCTAAATAAAACCTTGCCTAACTTATACTATTATATTTACTGCACAGCTATTTAAAATTATGGATTCTATTCCAATGTAAATATATACGTATCACGATAATTACGAGTATTAGTAATACTGCGCATATAGGCATGCAACACGATGCTTATTAAAATACACATTAGTTATTAATATAGTAGCACAACAACACAAAAAGTAGAAAAGCTAAACAAAATAAAAGTTGGAGATTTAACAAGACTCACATAGTACGTATATTAAAGAACCACGAGTTCTTTATATTAAAAGACTTTCGTGTGCAAAACACAAATTATTATTATTTTAACCTTAAGACCTGATCATGTACGTTTACACCACCTGGAAAATTACCACTGACCTAAATTTACTCAAATTTTTGGATCTCCAAAATAGTCACAATTAGCCTGGTTAGACTTACATCAGAGAAATAAGGTTTGTGCCATAGGTGGGTGAAATAAAAAAAAAAAATTCATGTGCTAAGGACAAAGTGGAAGCTAGAAGATGCTATTACATTTGTTTACAAGTGAACACTCATTACTATGATAAAGGCGAGAGCAGCAGGCAGCCGTGTTGCAACTGTCACAACATTCTGCAGTTAATAAGAAATTTTCATGGTAAACTAGACTAATCTTTGCCTTATAAAGTTTTAATTAATTTGTTTAGCAGAGTGACTAGCAGCTAAATAAACTGAATTTGGGAAGATGAGTGGTATTTAATTTTGTATTGTTGAATACAGTAGATCGTCGTTCAACACAGTTTTGGTTAAAGCATTGTTGAAGAATTGCGGCATATTTTTGTATAACACTTCGTAAAATTAACTTAACACGGTTCAGTTTGAGTAAATATGAGTTTGTGTGATAAGTGACTGATTTGCTGACTTACTAACTTACTTGACTAATTGACTTACTGACTTGACTGACTGACCTGACTGACTTGACTGACTGACTTACTGATTTGACTGATTTATGCACACTCCAGTACGACCATCGACTTCAGCACAAGAACCTCTACCATCCACTTCAAGCCAGTAGGGCCACAGCATAACTCTCCACAAACACCAGCACCCACAATTTAAGGTAAGAAATGCTATTATTTCTGTTGCATTTGTAATATTTAGTAGTAAAAACAACATAATACACCACGACAATGAACTACAACTACATATTCACTTTTATTTTTGTAAGATCTGTTGGTATAAAAAAAAAGTTGTTTAGCTTTTTGGGGGCTCCCAGGAACGTAACCCTATTTTTTCCCGTAAGTTCTTCAGTTTGTCTAACATGGTTTTAACTACCACGGCATTTTTAGGAACCTAACTACTGTGTTAAACAACAGTCTACTGTAATAAATACTGTATATGCAGTGGCGGCTCATAGCGCCAGTAATACCTATACTATCGTACTGCAGCTCCTATGGACAAGCCACCACTGTGTATATGTGAAATACAGTGCTCATCATTAACCCTATCACTGTCTCCTAAGGAGATCTACAATATTAACTGTAATAATGTTGGTAGAATTACTGACAATATGTTAGGTACAAGGACACAAGTGCAACTAATGTGACATTTTGTGGTACACAATAAAATGTCACATTAGTTAGGCATGTCTTTTTACCTATTACGTTACCGATGCCAGTGTTTCTCACAGATCTACTTTATAAGCACAGTGCCCTGAGATATGCCACAAGCAGTAACTTAGGGCCTAGACATAAGAGAATGAATCTGTGCAGTGGGTGTATACAGTATATATAAAAAAAAATCCTGCCCAACATGTGTATGACGGGAAAAGAAAAACCTCTGATCTTGTGTTGGGTTTAAAATAATGCCTCTGAGGTGTTTTCTATTAGCTGTTTCTTGGTATTATTTGAAAGATTGGAAGACTAATGACTTTAGTCATTGTCAGACCAGAAGTAGCTTGAAGTAGGCCTCAAAGTGGAAGAAATAGTATATTGGGTTTTTTACTAAGTCTGTTTCAATTATTGGGACAGCCTAAACCATGACCAATCATTCTTAGTTATTCTT